TCCTTATTTATTACCTATATATTTTGTTTCAGATTAGTGCATTTAAAGGAATTGGTGGAAATGAAGCACTTTGCCAGCTTTGGGGCTATGCTAGAAAACGTAACATCCAAGTTATTCAACGTTTCCAGAATAAAGTATTAAAGAACATCGTCGATGCATCCTGGTACTGCCGTAATACTGATCTTCATAGGGACTTTAAAGTGGAGACTGCTGAAAATACAATACAAAAATTTGCCAATAGTCACCAACAACGACTGCTCCAACATAGAAACCTTAAGATTATCCAGCTCCTCAACAATGCCAATCTATAATAAGAAGACTCAAGAGAACCAGGCCTTTTGAGTTAGTTCAGTGATATTAGATTAAAAGTGTTATACGTTAACGGTAGTGTAACTAAATAATTAGACTTTAAAGTGCACTATATAGTGAGCAGAATCTTAGTTTAGGAAGTTTTTCATCCCTAGATAAATTAGGTAAAAATAAAATTGCTAATTGATCTTAATGATTAGATTATAATAATCGTAAATGTTTCTTTACTTGGATCATTTAATAAAAAAAACCTAGTTGTTTCAAATTAGTGCATTTAAAGGAATTGGTGGAAATGAAGCAATTTGCTTCTATAATTTATGAAATATTGTTTAAAACTTTTTTATTTATTTGTTTGTTTAAGAATCAATGTTTGAGTTTTGTGTATTTTAAATAAACATGTATATTTTTAAATGTCTTTTTTTTAGTCTAATAATATATTAAAAAAAAATAGAATACATTTCTGAAATATTACTATTTAATATTTCTAAAAGATTTCAAATTTTTATTTCAAAAATATTATTGTGAAATATTAAATTTACAGGACATTTTTACGTTTCAGGCATATTTCAGAAATGTTTCTGGGATGTTTTGTAATATTTATGCAACATTGTAAATGTTTTACTGTAACATTGTTTCTGAAATGTGTTTGTGCTGTATGGGAGAGCAACCAATTTTTCCGATAAAGATCAGAGTGGAATTTTTTTTATGTTGGTAAAGAAATAATCTAAAATGAGACTAAAATTATACTGTTATTATTTCTTACATTGCTAAATTTTTTAATGAAAAACGCAATAAATGCCTGTTGTTAAGCCAGCAGAGTTTTTCTACAAAGAAAGGAAATTTTTTTAGGTTGGTATAAAATTAGCCTAAAATTATGACTTAATCAAAATTTTAAAAATCCGAAGGTGGTCTGCTAGCTTTATATCAAGCTAGCAGAGCAGCTTATATTTCCTATAAAGAAAGAAGCGCAAAATTTTATATGTTGGTACAAATTTATGACGTTACTTCAATTTTTTTTAACAAAAAACTCTATAAAGTCGTATTGTCAAGCTAGAGCACCTAATTTTTCGGATAAAGGTCAGAGTGAAAATGTTTTTTTGTTGGTATAGAAGTAGCCAAAAATAAGCCTAAAATTATGCCGTTATCAATTTTTACGTTACTAAATTTTTTACGTGCCTGTTCTTAAGCCAACAGAGTACCTTATTTTTCTATAAAGAAAAGAGCGGAAACATTTTTAGGTTGGTATAAAGAAAGGAGCGAATTTTTTTTATGTTGGTACAAAATTAGCCTAAAATGAGCCTAAAATTATGACGTATCCATTTTTGAGTTATTTCACTTTTTAACGAAAAACTCTATAAAGTCGTATTGTCAAGCTAGCAGAGCACCTAATTTTTCCTTTAAAGGCAAAAGCGGAAAATGTTTTATGTTCGTATAGAATGAGCCCAAAATGAGCCTAAAATTATGTCGTTTCTATTTTTTAGTTTCCTTAATTTTATTAACGTGCAACACTGTATAGTCGTATTGTCAAGCACCTAATTTTTTCGTAAAGGCGAGAGTAGAATTTTTTATGTTGGGATAAAATAATCCTAAAATGAGCCTAAAATTATGCTCTTATACTTTTTTACATTGCTGAATATTTTAATGAAAAACGCAATAACTACCTGTTGCTAAGCCAGCAGAGCACCTATCTGTATCTGTAACGTGTAGAGGGAGGGTTACCCCCACGACAATTAGGCCTCATTAGGCGCATTGTGCATCTTCCTAAGATGATAGGCACCTCCTAGCTCGTGAGCTAGCCTACAAATTTAATGTAGTTGACAACGTCGCCAAGAGGTGCTTCTTTTATATCGGCCGGTACTAGCCGATACTCGCCGAACACAAATTTTCTAATAAATGAGCGCGTCGAGCATTCGTAAAGCATATGCTCGTCGGTCTCATCTTTTTGTTTGCACCCTCTACAGAGTGCGGATTCTTCTGACAGCCCCATGATATGGAGATGCTTCCGTACTTGGCAATGACCAGTCTGAATGCCTGTGACTAGGCGCAGATTCTGTCTAGTCATAGTCAAGTATTTGTTTGCTGCAGTGTTGTCAGGATAACTTAAGAGCTCCCTGCCAACTCTGCAGTTTCTTGTTTCATCCCATCTTTCCTTGAATTTTACAAGGAAATGTTCTTCAATTAGGTCTGTCACTACCGATTTTGTCAGGCCAATAGAAGGGCCAGGTCCAAAAAGTATTTGGTTGGCTGCTTTCTTGGCGTGTGGAGTAATCTTCGATCTATCCGCAGAGTACCTAATTTTTAGTTAAAAGATAGGAGTGGAAATTTTTGTAGGTTGGTATAAAATTAGCCCAAAATTAGTCTAAAATTATGGCGTATTCAAAATTTTAAAACTCTCACTCAAAGCACAATTAATATCTCAAATACGGCCCTGCCGTATATTGTTTACTATGTTGTACACTTAGTTGTGGAATGTTATTTCAGATAATTTCTTCACATGAATATCTATTAGGTTGCTACAAATACGTTGAGCACAAGCAACCATTGTTTAACTTTTAATATGTACAATATATTTAGTTTGCAAACGACATAAAAATAGAAAGAAACGTTGATTGAAACCACGATTAGCTGTTTGAAGGATTCGTGAACACAATATGGTGGAAGTGAACCCGTCTCCCTACCTTCTACCTCCATGCTAGGATCAGAAAAATATTGAATCCTATTGTTCGTTTACCTTGTGTATTTTCCAACTGCCCCTGTAGAAAAATACAATATCTAATTTTAGATATGAAGTAATTCGTCAAAAATATTGATTATACACAAACCAATAAAACTTACCCCGAGTATTTTGAACATATAATATGAGTCATTCTTTCTTAAAAAAATAATCTCGTAGCTGGAAAAGAATTTTTATGTCAATAACATACTCGTACATGTTTATGTAACGTAATATCAGTTGAAAATTGATCCTGAATTTTTCTTCCTTTTAATAGTCTTTTTTTTAACCGGGTCAATATTTTTTTAACTATGCTTTCAACACGCAGGTTCAGTTCATTCAGTCAGCATATCTAAAATTCTTTCTAGTTTTTATCGTTGTTCTTCATCGTCAATAGCCCATTTATTTCTACAGCTTGTAACCTAATTCGCAAATATGTAATTGTTTAATCCAGACTCCTGAGATGTGTGAATTGATTAATAAATGAATATATACTTAATTGAATTATCCAGAAGTAATATTAAACAAAAATTTTGTCTTAAGTCTTAATCATTTTATTGTATTTTTGGTTACGACCTACGATCTTAGCCAAAAGTTGACAATATCATGCGCTATTAAAAACATATGCAGACAGAAAATACAAAAATAGTAATTGTATCACCTTTCGGATCCCATTTTATTAGTGCTATTATCACTTATTCACTCGATTTGAGAGAGTCCTAAGTACATTTCCATTCATTAATTGACATAACCCATGTTAAATACACTTTAACTTATCCTTTAGCAATCACTCATCCAATATATGACAAAAATTATTAGTACTGCAGGGGCGCGCGGTCCATGGAAGCGGGGGAAGCACCGCTTCCCTACACTTTGAGATTTAAAAATAAACATTTTTCAGTTTACAATGCATAGAAATTAATATATTTTCTCTGAAACATTACGTAAACTTCGTAAATGTACTAAAAATTCATTGGCGTAATGTGTAAACGCACGCACCACCCATGAGAAAATTAATTGTGGAAGCGTGTCTTAAAAAAGCCAGCTCATCTTCCAATTATTTTCACTTCGTGTTATTGACCTTGGTTTTCCGCGACAGTAGTCAGTCTGTTTGGTACGTGAAATACGGTCGAGAGGCAGCGATTTTTACGTCGCCTTATGTATATTGCAATTCGCACCACGATTCGACGTGTGAAGAAAATCGTAGACTTCAGATAGATTTCGGTTTGTTTTTCGTAGTTGTTTTTCTTTTTGTAAAATGAAAGAACTATGCACTGTGTCTGTGAACAATAATAATGTGGTAAATTGTGTCTGTATTGTGTGCTCTTTATTAAAAAAAGGATTTTCAAGTAGAAATTTTGAAGAAACAACGGACAGTATTAATTCTATTAGACTAAAAGATCCTATCAATTTAGAGACGAAAGTAGAAAAGTCAGCAAAGAAATTTACCAGGCATTTTCACGTAGGATTCTTTGAAAAGTATGAATGGTTAACCGGCTGCAAAACTTTGAAAAAATTGTTCTGCTGGCCTTGCCTACTTTTTAATATAGCGGAAAAAAAAATTGGAACTCAGTCGGTATTACAGACTTGAATAATTTTCACAAAAATGTAAAACGACATGTAAATAGTAAATCTCATATAAGTGCTACAATTAAAGAAAAAAACATTCGGGACCTATCGCATTGAACATTGTTTGGACAATCATTTAAAAATAAGCAACAACATTCACAATGAAAGGATAAAAAAAATAGGGACATCTTACAACGATTAATAGATGTAACTTGTTTCCTGGGAGAACATGAACTAAGTTTTAGGGGTCACAATGAAGCAAGTGGATCCGCCAATCGAGGAAATTACATGGACCTTTTAAGTTTTTTAGTAAAATACCCTATAAAATCATTTTATTGATTAGACGACTTTCCTAGGTACCTCAAACAGAATCCAAAATGATTTAATCAAATGCACTACCGACGTTGTGATGGATCACATTAAAAGTGAAATTAAGAAAGCACCTTTTGTATCAATTGCACTTGATGCAACCACAGATGTAGCAAACTTAAGTCAATTATCCACTGTTGTGCGATATGTATTGGATGGCATTCCTGAAGGGCGATTCTTAGGATTTTTAGACGTCACTAGCGAACGAACTGCAGATGCATTGTTTAAAATTGTTTGTGAAATTATTTCAAGTTTAGAATGTGGTTCTAAGCTTGTTGGCCAGAGCTACGATGGTGCTGCCGTAATGGCTGGCCATTTAGGAGGCCTTCAAGCTAAAGTAAAAGAGAAGTTTAAACATGCAATTTTCGTTCATTGTATAGCACATAGACCTAATTTGATTTTATTGCGAAACATGGATAATATTAAAGATTGCAAAGTTTTATTTTCGACGCTTAGTTGTTTGGCTTCCTTCTTTTCAATGTCATCAAAAAGAACTGGCGCTTTGGACATTCACGTTCAAAAAAGGTTTCCAAAAGTTGCTCCGACGCGATGGAACTACAATGGACGTTTAGTGCAAACAGTGTTTCAATTCCGTGATTCTTTGATACACTTTTTTCAAGACTTTTGTGATAATAAAAAAACATGGGATACTGAAACTGTTACTGCCGCTAAAGGGTATTTGCATTGGCTCAAACAAAACTTTGATTTCAATTTTTTACTCAACATTTTTGCAGAGATTTTCCCTTTTACTGACATTTTATTCGACATTTTACAGACAAAGTCAAATGACATATTGGCTTTTGCATTAAACAAAATAATGATTTTAAAAATAAAATGAATAAAAAACGAGATCAGTTTGAACACTTTTGGAATAAGACTCAAAACATTGGCTTAGAACCTGAAAGAAAGAGAGTTAGAATTGATAATCTCGGCGACAGAGAGACCTGCTCCTATCGTCGATTATACGCCGAAAATTTTGATAATGTTTTACAACAAATGAACTCTCGATTTCAAAACTTTAACGAATTAAAATTTGTTGAATTGTGCAATTTTAATATTAGTAACTACGATTCATCAAAATTTCCATCGGAAGCTTTTAATTCACTAAAATTAAATTATGGAAATTTTTTCGATATTCCAGCATTAAAGTCCCAGTTAAGTGTTGTTTATGAAACAGCTGAAATTAGTGATAAAAAGACGCCCATCAATGTGGTAAATTTTCTTATAACAACTGGTTTAAATAAGTCCTTTTTTAAAGTCGTCACGTTGTGTGAATTAGTACTAACCATTCCAGCCATAAGTGCGTCAGTTCAGCGAAGTTTTTCAGCTTCAAAGCGCATTAAAAGTTTTATACGAAATTCAACAAGTGAAGACAGACTCTCTAATTTAGGGCCAATATCCATTGAAAAATAGCTTGTTAAACAGTTATCAAAAAATCCAAAATTTTACGATGTTATAGACAAATTTGCAGCCATTGAGGATATGCGAATAGATCTTAAGTATAAATAAATGTCAACTGCTGTGTCAAGTGTGTGAAAAATGCTGGAAAAAATAAAAAAAACTTCAGTTAAATGTTTTTTTACGTTTGAATAAACCAAGGAAGCTTTTCAATGGTAAGTTTTTTTTATAGCTTCTAGTACTTAACTAGGTAATAAAGTAATTTTTTTTCCTGGGCTCGTCTGACTATGTGTCTCCGAATAACACTGAAGCCTATTGGCTTATTGTGTTTTACCCCATGTTAGTTCATAGCACCCACTCTATCACCTTTGTACCTTGTACAAGTTTGTAAAGATCCTTGGGTGAGTGAGTTCTATACGTTGTTGGATCAACCTGGGGTTGTCCAAAAAGAGCCTGTCGTTTGCGATCTAGAGCTTCGCATTCGCACAGTATGTGTTTGGCCGTTTCTGGTTTCTTGTGACATAGTCGGCACATGAGTTTCCCATTGTACATGCCAATTTTGTTCAAGTGTCCCTTTACTGGGGCGTGCCCAGTCATGAACCCTGTTATCACTTTCAACTGGTTCCTATTCATTAAGAGTAGTTCTCCAGTTCTTTTGGGACATGGTCTGCCTATGAAGGCTTTTCCATGTGCCTGTTTTGGGGTGCTTCCCCAATAGTTGATATGTTGTTCCCGAATTCAGTCATTTATAATAAAGTAATAGTAACACTTTAAACATCTCAATCTCGAATACCCGTAGTACTGAGGACAAAAAGCAAGATTTTGACAAAATGGTGAATGCGCCGCGAAAAAATTTCATCTACGGTGCTGTGCTTACTGGCCTGCTGTATTTTTATACAATTGCTTCCCCTTCCAAAAATGTCACCGCACGCCACTGTGCTACTGTTAATAAAGTTAATAATAATAGAGTGATAACATTTTTAAATCCTTATAATTCTCATTGCAAATGTCACAATAATCGGCCAAATAATTTTGTGACTTTGTAAACATTCGCGGTTTATTAAATTGATTTTGCACCCTTTTCCTTTTCATTTATATTCACCGTAGAAATGATTACATACATTCTGAAATAAAAAAATATAGTTTTCGTGACCAAGGCTAGTCATAAAAATTCTCTTAAGCTTTTAATCATCATTTGTTTTCGGATAATGTTATTCGGATTCTAATCATTTAAACATTTTTTGAATTCAAGTTCTAATGAAAGTCGTCAGTTTAAGATCAAATGACCAAAAAAGCCAATCATTACAGCGATTATTCAACTAGATAGAGAATATAACTATTCTTATGCCACGCGACGTACGAAACAAACTTCTTTTGATAGAAACCATTATTCGTTATCATATGATTGTCATTCTAGTAATTAGGTTTGTTCCAAGTTCCAACCAACGACGAAAAACTACTATACTAATTTTGTTTACAAAAATCGAATTGCAAACAGTCACGGTGACATCCACGTAGGGGAAGGCGGGGCACATGACACAATTTCCAAATTTCCGCTTAAACTTTGATCACTGACAGTCTGTCATATATCAGCGTTGGCTTCTATCAATGCATGTTCAGTTGAAATGTGTGGTTCGCACATACTTTGATTTTCTTTTACTATACGGAGACTGGTCGCACTGCGCAGCTTTCTGAGTGCGTTTTAATCATCCGCTTCTGCTTCGGAATTGTCGCTTTTATTGTTTTAATCTGACAGGTTAAAACGACTAAACCGACAATTACGGAAACAGAAGCGGATGATTAAAACGCACCTGATATTTTGCTTGCTGCTGTCAGTGTCAGTGAATATTATTTTTGGAGTCACAGTATTATTGCTAAAGAATCAGTTAGCTCACTCGGACCAGTTGAAAGTTCCAAAATAACATCCACTCCAGGGATACAAATTCAGGATACGCAGAAGATTGCTGTTTTATTATAGGCGGTTGTCATATATTGTATTATCCGAGTTGCGCAGTGTATAAACTGGAACATTGAGATCAAAAGTGCCGACGCAGAGTGAGCGATCTGATTCTTTAGCTATAAACTGTGGCATAGGAATCAAAATGGCCGCGCCCTATGTTGGGCGTGTCGGACCTCTCTCTTGCACCGTATAGTAATCAAAGTATGTGGTGGTTCGTATAATGGATGGTTTGTGGTAGTTATATCAAAACTAAAAATATCGTTTATAAAAATTTTTGGGGAAGCAATTTGTAAACTAAGGCGAGTTAAAATAAATTAATGTTTAGGTTTATACATTTTTTATTATTATATAATTAGACTATTTACCTTAATTTTTTGTGATTGGGAGTGTGCAAGCAAGTTGGGTTTTAGGTTATAATTGAAAATTCCTAAAATGTGGTGGTGGGCAGATTTTCCATTTAATGAAGGGGCAGTTTCGACACTTGTCAAATCTGTCCCATCGCATTTGAGTCATGGTTTTAACTGTCTGGTCGATTTAATGTAGAATTTTGTAGTTTATAATTATATAGTATTGGTGCTTCCTTTCTAGTAAATGTCATTTCATTACATTTTTTAACATTTAACGGTAACTTATTTCTTTTGCACCATTCGTTTAAGCGGCTAAGATTCTCTTGAATTACAACTAGAGATTTCATAAAAAAAATTTAGGTCATCGGCAAACAATAGATTTGTGACGCTCAAATTACAAACAATATCATTAATAAAAAGCAGAAATAATAAAGGCCCTAAAACCGAACCTTGCGGGACGCCGGATGTTTGTTTGAAATTCATTGATTTATGCCCTAAGCACTGAACACAAAGGTAACGATCTGATAGATATGACTGTAAAATATTTAATAAGGAGCCATGAAATCCAAGTGCTGAAAGTTTACTTGTTAGAAGTTTATGATCAATTCTATCGAATGCTTTATAGCGGATTCGACTCAAATGCTCTTGCTCGATGACAAAGCGCTTTCGGTTCTGAATTGATTTTGGGCAGCATTTTTATAATTCAAATTTATATCTAGCAGTGCACACAACAAGCAAGAGCTAGAGTTCGACATTGGTGTAGCGCGTCTCTATCGTTATTCGACTGGCACAATTAGCACTTGACATTTCAGATTTCTAACAAATTTTTAACGATATTTATTTATAGTTGCCAAACCAAAAATTATATCTCTATTAATTTCAAAGATTTTCCATTATCACTAATAATAAAGAGAAAGATGGTTATATATTTAAAAATATTAAATAATTCCTAACCTCCAAAATGACACTGGCACTGAAAAAAAGTACAGTTCCAAAAAATTCGAACTTTGAGCAAGAGCGACTGCCAGTCGAACAAAAATTTCACTATGCCTTGGTACCGAGCAATTTCAGTCGAATGCAATAATTGACATTTCATTCATTAGGTTCTGTCAGTCGAACAAACACCAATTAAAAAAGTCGAATTAAATGCGCATTAATGCAGCCAGTCGAATCCGCTATTAGAGAAGTCAGTGTAAATAACATCAACCTGACTTCTTCTATCCAAAGCTTCAGAAATACAGATTAGATTAGTTACAGTAGAGCGACCAGCAATAAAACCATGTTGGGTTGGACTAATGATTTGGCAAAACTGAAATGAAAGGAAAGTATGCACAAGTATTTCAAAAACTTTAGAGAAATTGTTTAGAATTGTGACAGGGCGATAGTTGGATATATCATTTTTGATGCCATTTTTAAAGATTGGACTAACTCTAGCTAACTTCCACATTTTAGGAAATTGTTGAGTTTTAAAAATAAGGTTGAAAATAATAGTAAGAAGTTTGCAAAATACCTGTGCACAGTCTCTCACCAGAAATGCCGGAACATTATCCGATCCACTTGTTGGCTTAGGTTTCAATTATTTTAGAGCAGTTAGTACTTCAGCTTCCGTTACTTGGGCAATGTTAACTATATTGTTATAATTTTGGTATTATAAAGAATCTGTAACAGTATTATCAATTGGTGTATAATTTCCTGAAAAAAATATTGCAAACGAATCCACTATATCTTCAGGTTGATTTAAACGCTTGTTTTCGAAATTCATAGTGTTGGGTATCGTTGACAGATCACCCGTTCTGAAATTTATAAATGACCAAAAAGTTTTAGGATCAGCCTTAATATTTTCTTCAGAACATTTCACATAATTACAATAAGCTAACTTAGTTTTAATTTTAATTTCAGTTCTCAGTTGACTGTAAATAATATAATCTGAATTATATTTAGTAATCTTAAATTTTTCCAAGCTTTACTTT